TGTCATGATGTTGTGTAAGCAATTCACAATATGTTATTTTTGCCATGTGTTTTCGCTCATGTAATTCAATATTCAAATTAAATTTACTTGGTTTTGCTCTCTCCTGTCATGAAAAAATTCTGACTTTTTGTTTTAAGATTTTATTTGAGAGAGATCACAAGCAGGGGAAGGGGCAGAGGGAGAAGCAAATTCCTTGCTAAGCAGGGATACTGATGAGGACTTCATCCCAGGACCCTGGGATCATGATGTGAGCTGGAGGCAGACGCCAACTGGCTGAACCACCCAGGCCCCCCAAATTCTGACACTTGAAATCTCCTGATTTGAATAGCTACCTTTTGAAGATGTTATGAACTTGTCACCCAGCCCTCTTAAATTTGTTTTTATTCATTCATTCTTCATGTATTCCCCTTTGATATTTGCAAATGGTGTAGTATTTGCTACTCCTGGAGGTAGTAGGGCTCTCCTGTGTTCTCTTGTGTTAGCTTCCCACACAGATTTTGTGTGGAAACCATTGAGGCTGAGTAGAAGTAATCTTAATAGAATTTGGAACTGTAAGAGTCAGTAAGTAAAGATGGTGGTTACTGGCCCCTGAAGTGTTCTAGAACCAGCGGAGAAAATAAGAGACTTTCTGCCCTTGAGTGGGTATAGACTTGTGAATTCCTGTGGTGATATTTGTGTGTCATTGTGTGATATTTCATAGGGTATCTTTATTAGTGTTGTGTCTCTCTAAAGGAGAAGCTGCATGAAGGTAAAGATGGAAAGAAGAAAAGAAAGTGGAGGGAGGTGAGGTTACTTTAAAAAAAAATTAATGAGTGGGGTGCCTGGGAGGCTCAGTCATTAAGCGTCTGCCTTTGGCTCAGGTTCTGGGGTCCTGGTGTCCTGGGATCGAGCCCCACATTGAGCTTCCTGCTCAGTGGGAAGCCTGCTTTTCCCTCTTAACACTGTCCCTGCTTGTGTTCCCTCTTTGACTCTCTCTGTCAAATAAATAAATAAAATCTTAAAAAAATTAAGGAGCAATTTCAGTAAATTCTTGAGTTAATTCTAGCAAAGCAGATTAAATTAATGTGGAGGAATTGATTTTAAAGTTGAAAATGTATGTTTTTTTGTTTTTTTTTTAAAGATTTTATTTATTTATTTGACAGAGATCACAAGTAGGCACAGAGGCAGGCAGAGAGAAGGAAGCAGGTTCCTTGCCTAGCAGAGAGCCCGATGTGGGGCTTGATCTCAGGACCCTGGGATCATGATCTGAGCTGAAGGCAGAGGCTTTAACCCACTGAGCCACCCAGGCGCCCGAAAATATGTTTTATGAGCATCTTCTTAGAATAATTTTATTTTCATTTGAAAAATAAGGGTTTTTTTGTTTCTAGTTTCTACTCAACCAGTGAGTACATTCCTAAGAAAATATTTTTTCTTTGCCAGATCTTTAGTTTATTTGCGCATGGCCTATTGTTGTGTTCAAATCCTATAATATTCATGAAAACATTTTCTGTTTTTGTTTTTGTTACAGTTGTGTAACAAAAAGCTAAGTTTTTGACATTTTTGTAGAAGTGGTTTTTTATCTCTATATGGTGTAATGACTTTTGAATTGCATCTCCTGGATCTAATTCAGAATAACTGCTTTTGATACCTTTGAAACTTAAAATACAATATGTATAAAATTCATTTAGTTTATGGGACTTAATTCCTGTCTGACAAGTTAATATCATAGTCTTTGAAGCTCCCATAGTTTGCTTACCCTGGGCTCTATCTTTTCTTATCTCAAAACCTTCCCAGAATAGACCAGGGAATGGAATAAGATGTGATCATGCAAAAAGCATGATCCTCTCCAAAATTTTTTAATTTTATACAAATTTTAATAAAATTTGTATACCATATAAGTTATTCATTTAATAGAATGGAATTGTCAAGTCGCATGTTAACTGTGTTTAACTGAGATACTGCCAGACTATTTTCCCACAGTGGCTATACCATTTTGCACTCCCATCGACAATGTATAAGATTTCCAATTTCATCCTGCCTCCTCCCCAACACTTGTTATTGTCCCAACTTTTTGATTATAGCCACCTTTAGTAGATGTGAAATGGTATCTTATAAAATGTGCTTTGATTTGTGTTTCCCTAGTGGATAATAATGTTAATCATCTTTTAATGTACTCATTGGCCATTTATCTTCTTTGGAGAAATGCCTATTTGAATCTTTTGTCCAATTTTCAACACTTTTCTTTTGGGGTAAAATATACATAACAAATCTTGGCATTTTAAGTGTATAACTTGGGGACATTAAATACTTCTACAGTCTTGTGCCACCATCATCACTATCCATATCCAGACCTTTTTTTAATCTTCCCAAACTGAAACTCTGTACTCATTAAACAGTAATACCTTACCTTTTCCCCAGCCCCTGGGCTAATGCCTTTCTACTCCTTGCCTCTGATTCTATTTTAGATACCTCATGTAAGTGAAATCATAAAATTTGTTCTTTTGTGTCTGGTTTATTTCACTTAGCATATTGTATTCAAGATTTTTCAAAGTTGTAGCATGTGCCAGAATTTCCATTTTAAGCCCTAATAATATCCCACTGCATGTTTTTATACCACATTATTTATGCATTCGTGTGTTGATTGATGGTATTTTGCACCTTTTGGCTATTGTGAATAATACTGCTTTGTGAATTGGTGTACACATTCTGATTGAGTCCTTGTGAATAATACTGCTTTGTGAATTGGTGTACACATTCTGATTGAGTCCTTGCTTTCACATGTTTTGGGTATTTACTTGGAAAGGGAATGGCTGGATCACCTGGTAATTCTTTGTTTTTGTTTTGTTTTGTTGTTGTTGTTGTTTTTATTTTTGAGAAACCACCACACTTCTCTACAGTTGCTGCATTATTTTGTATGCCCTCCAGCCAGTACGAGGTTCCAATTTCTCTACAGCTTTGGCGGCCAATACTTGCTGTTTCCTGTGTTTTTGTTTCTGTTGTTGTTGTTGTTTGCATAGCAGGCGACCTAATGGATGTGAAGTTCTGTCACATTTTGGTTTTGATGTACATTATCCCCGTGATTAGTGAGGTTGGGCATTTTTCCATGTTATTGGTCTTTTGTATATCTTTGGAGAAATGTCTGTTCAACTACTTTGCCTGTTTTTTCACTGGGTTGTGTTCTGTGCCCTCCTGCCCTCCCCCACCTTGCTTATTTGTAGGAGTTCTTTTTATCTCCTGGTTATTAACACCTTATCAGATAGATGATTTGCAAGTATTTCTTCCATTCTGTGGGTTGCCTTTTCACTTGTTGATAGTGACCTTTGAGACACAGAAAATATTTTGATTTTGACATAGTTCAAGCTTTTTGTTGTTGTTGTTGTTGTTGTCACACAGTATTGTTTAAGTAGACAGTGACTGATTCTGAAATGTCTTGGGAATGTATCAGGAGCCTTCTAGGCTCATACTGAAAAACATTTTCTAGTTTCACTTTCTGTTTTGAAGTTCAAATTTTTCATTGGCCACAAGTATTTTAGTTACTAGTTAAATCTTCTTGAAGTCATTCATTTTTGAAAATATATCTACCAAATTTTCTTGTTCTAAAAAAGCCTTATTTGTTTGACAGTCCTTTCAAGTAAAAATTGCCTTCTAAGATAGCAGCTAGTTCAGCTGGCAACAATATTCAACTGTTGTTCCTTGAAATGTATATAATATTTTGATATATTTTTCATGTATTATTTGTCCCATTTTGTTACAGAGAATATTAAGAAAATGCATATTCAGAGGTTGAGTATTAATAAAATTAGTATTTTTTGTTTTATTAAACTTTAAATGAAATGTTTTTTTGTTTTACTGTGAATTTTTGGTGGGTAAAGAAGGTGATGACTGACTAGTATATAGGAGTTTGGAACTGTTGCTTGATTTCTGCTAAGTGTCTTCATTTTCCCTGTTGCTGTTCTTGCACCATCAAGACAAATATTAACATAGTAAAAATATCAACTCTTACTCTTATGAGAAATGGCTTTGGCCTCTTACAATCCACTTTTGAGAACTGCTGCCCTAGTTTGTAGGATTATGGATGGGAGAGAAGAGTACAGATTAACACTTCCCATATTTTGCTTAAGTAGTCACCTGTGTAAGATGTTTCTGCTGCCATTAATGGTTTGTACTTTCAACTTTGGGAAATGGTTGACATTCTTGACTCTTGGATCTCCTGGAATTTAGGGTATTCAGGCAGGTATCATCACAAAATTTTTTTATATTAGTGGTAAAATTTAAGAGGACAGGGAGAAAAGGTGTTCTTATTAACCTAGTAAGTGAATAGATATTAAAAGCACATAAATTATATATTTTTACTTTGCAGATACATGTTGCATAGAACCTATGATATGTACCCTTTAAGAGACAGAAGATTCTGAAAATACTAGTTAAAAGAAAAGAGAAATTTGAAGTTCATTTTGCTGTTTAACATAGATATAAGACAAGAAACCTTTATTTGTCTATGTAAGCATTATAGCTTGAATACTAAGAGCTTCGGGTCTGCAGTCATTCTGACTTGCCTATTTACAATGTGAACTTGAGCCAATTTCTAATAACCTGTTTACGATGGTATGGTAACACCTCCCTGGCTGACTTCTTAGGAGCAATAGAGTCAAAATAATGTTTTAAAGTTGCTAATAATAATGAGACGTAGAACATAATAGGCTTTTAGCTGGAGATTGTTCATTTTAAGGATTTTTTAATCTTTAGCTGGAGGTTGTTCATTTAAAGATTTTTATCAGAGATTGGGGTTTCATTTGGATCAGGAGTGGGGAGAATTGGTGTAACTAGTTTGGAGTTTGTGAGTCAGATTCATAGGCCTGGTGTTTGCCACTTAACAAAGATATTCTCACTGCCCCTTACTCCGATCTTAATGTTACTAGCATCAGTGTTATCCTATATTCTGTTTTGTGCTTTGTGTTCAAGAATTGTAAAGCTACATGTTACTGTGTTTTGTTTTGTTTTGTTTGATTTTTTGCTTATAGGATTCAGTGGTCCCAATTTAAAGGCTATTTTATTTTCAAACTGGAGAAGGTGATGGATGATTTCAGAACTTCAGCTCCTGAACCAAGAGGTCCTCCCAACCCAAATGTCGAATATATTCCCTTTGATGAAATGAAGGAAAGAATACTGAAAATTGTCACTGGATTTAATGGGTATGCACTTAATATTATTTTAAAGGTTTAATTTTTAGCAGAACATTATGGATTTTTGTTTTGATCATTGATTATCCATTAAGTAAGTTCTGTGTCTCAGGTGACATTTAGTAGTTAGTGATTTTTAGCTTACAAGTATTAAATAATTACAGTGTATATATTTATTTATTTAACTGGAGCCACGTTTATGGGTGTATAAGTGGCATTTGGACTTTAAAATGGGTTTGACAGTGGAGGCATTCAGGAAATGTTAGTTTTTTCTTTCCATTTTATATGTGATATAAATCTTTATACTTTGCCTAGAACCTGCATATCATTGAGATGAGTATTATTTTTTTAAATGAAAAACGACAATTTATGAACGTATAAATTACTTAGGACTTTATATTTAAATTTTTTTTTGGAGTTCCTCTTTTACTCCCAAGTAAACAAGTAATCATTTTTAGCCCTTTGTAAACATTGCATTAAAAGATACAGTGTATTAAAATAAACAGCTATTTTAAAAAAATGTTGCTGTGTGTCATATTCTGTGTCATTTTAAGTATTTTTCTTTTTAGGACTTTGTAGGGTTTTCTTTATTGAAGGGAAGAAGTATTTTTGATGTTGAATTGTTCAGTATTTAGATTGATGTTAGCGATTTGGATACCAAATTTAATGAATTGTGGATATGTTAACCATGAATTCATATTTGAGATGGGTTTTATTTGAAGAGGTTTCATTTGTAAGTATTAGATAGCATAAACAGTCTCATTCTTTTCAGATATTTAAACACACAGGATTTGCAACAAGGTAGTGTAATTCAGTTAATCCTTTGTTATATATCATGTTTCCATGCTTTTAAGTTTTGAGTTTTGCTTAAAATAACACATTCTTAGACTTTGGCTTTAGGTATGTTGCTAAAGTGCTTTTTGGGGGTAGAATATATGGCTTTATCTTTGAGCTGCCTTTGGGGGTTCGGGATGGGAGGGACACTTATTTTGACTTTGTACCCTGTTGTACTTCTGTACACTCTACCGAAAATTATTTATCTGTATACACATACTGCTTTTGTCAATAATAGTATTTTTTAAAAGCACATACCCAGACAAGGCCACATGCTTTATATTAGAAATATGTTGCATAAGATTTAGTCTTGAACTAAATTATTCAATATAAGAATACTTCTTTGGGATATTTATAAATAGTACACAGATAGTACTTAGATGTTATAACTCATCTTTTCAATAAGTTATGGCTACCATTTAAAAATTAAGAGTCAAGGTAAAAGAGGTCATCACTTCTCCGCCTTTTGGCTAAGATCAAGTGCAAGGTAAAAGAGGTCATAATAGGCTACTGCTTTGTGAATGGTAAGCTAATATACTTGTGATTCTGAATTAGTAATACTATTTTCAGTTCTTTCAGAATTAAGATTGACTAGACAGATATGTGGACTAAATAAATCTAAATATTTATAATTAGTCTGTAAAGCAGGTAATTAACATACTTCTGAAAATGATTTAAATGGTCATTAAATGCATACCTAAGACACAATTGCTTTAAAAATATTTTTCATCTTTGACCAATAAGTATTTTGAACTTACATTGTTTTTAATTTGATTTTTCAAAATAGTTTATGAATCCTTTTTCCTAGTTAGGCGGGATCGAGGTCTTAATCAGTGATAAGTATTTTTCAGTTTTTAATTAACCTTGTTTGTCTTTGTTATATTGATATATTGAAACGTTATTTTTTTTAAATTTTATTTTTATGTATGAATATATATAAATTAATTGGTGTGTTAAAAATTTTGCTAAGAGTAGTGGCTCCAAGTAGCATTTTGGTCTTTTTCAGCCAGATTGAGGATTTGTCCTTCTTAGTATACCTTTACCACTCTTTATAATAGGTCACCTTTTAAGTTATAAAAATATTTGTTAAAATTTTTAAAAGATCCTTAAATGTCACAGGAGTAGTACATAAAGAAAAGAAAGTGGAATCATGTCTTATGCTAGTTGTATTTTCCTTTATGAAGAGCTTTGACATCTATCATTGCATTTATAGTGGTATCTTCTGTTCATCTGTGTATTTGAAATGACTGCATTATTTTTTATTATACAAACAAGTTTGCTTTATTTCTGTTGGTGGGTGTTTACTTTTGATTATTTAAGTAGTGCTTGTAGTGAGCATCCTTGTATGTACCTTCTTGTGTTGATGAATGTCACACATTGAATGTATGTGTAGATTGTTGCTTTTAATTTGTAGAAATGGAATTGTTAATGTCACAGTGTACACATACTTAAAATTTCTATTGAACTGTCAAGTTGACCTTGCAGAATGTGTATTATTTCATGTGTGTGTAAATGCAGATACTGTAATTCCTTAATGTGTGTTTGTGCAACGCATGCATGTGCACACAGATTTATGTGTCTTTGAGTGCAGGTGAAATTGAACATCTTATCAGGTTCTTATTAGCTCTTACAAATTGTGGTTTCATACCCTTTTTTGTTTTTCTTACTTTGGAGTGATTTTCTTATTGGTAAGTTTATTGTTTTTGCTTTTAATTAGTAAAAGCTCGGTTTTTAAATGCTTCATAGTATTTAGTCTTGAAAAAGATTATTCATTTTCTAAAATTATCTTAGTATATTGCCAACATTTAAATTTCCCCTCTTTGAAGTGGAAATTGTCCATTCACTTGTTGGGTTGATTTCTTGAACTGTAAGATTCTGAAAGACAGGGTTAACCGTCTTTTCCAAACAAGGCCTACAACAGTGAATGCCTGAACAGCAGGTTTTCAAACAGTACTGAGTAAACCAGTGAAAGGAATAAAAACATGTTTCTGTATTTGTATTTTATTTGTAGTAGCTCATTCCTGCTGTACACAAAGAGGCACTTCAAGGGGTAGAAAGAAATGTGATTTACATTTTTAGTAGTTTTTTTAAAAGATACTTATGTGTCGACTCTAAATTACTGAGTTTAAGAATAATGAATATAAATTAACTGTGTCTTTGCTTCTCCTTTGTTAGTGTTGTTAGAGCTTTCTAAAATAAGCAGTAAGTTTAAGGTACTGAGTGGTTGACTAAAGTAGTGTGGTTTACGTGTTTAAGAGCAGGTCTGGAAAAAGTACATAACCATTTGATACCTAAAGATCTTTTTTGTCACATCATCTTTCTAAGGCAGGTACAGTTGGCTACAGCTGAAGAGCACTTTCCATCTTTTGGCATGATAGTCTTTCTGAATATTGAATTTCTTCTCTAAGGTACTTTAATGTACATGATTGACCAGATTTTTCTTAGTGATAAAAGCTTTCACATTGTTGGGTTTTTTTAATTTTTAATTTTTATTAACATACAATGTATTCTACATTATTGTTTTATATGTGTGTTGCTTACACACAGATAGCGCTTGAAGGTTTCTGCACCTGAGAGTGTGCCTCTTCATACTTTTTTAAAAGGTCATGTATGAGATTTTTGTTTTCTTAAATCTGGGTCATAGATTTAAAGCATAATCCTATTTTGATTTTGTATTGTTTGCTTTACAGTTAGCTTGAGGTTATTCAGGGATGAGAGAATAGGTTCTAGCTATTTGTTACTTTGTTCTCTTACTTCCTTTGACCTATTTTATTGCTGCTTCCAGAATTCTCTTCAGTTGTTTAGGAGAAATAGAGTTTTTGTGTCAGTATTTGTTGAACATATTAAATCTTTTAGCTAAATGTGTTTATTTCCATTTTCTTCACTGTCTTTCACTTAGCATAACTAGTTGAGAATTGGAATTATTTAGTAGCCTTCCCTCCTCCTACCTCACCTTACCTTGTCCTTTGATCATATGGTTTGATTTGATGTTCGAATAAAATGTTTTAAATACATACAGCAAAAGTCCAGATTTTTTTCTTGACATTTTTGATTTTATGCCAGAACAAGGACAATGCAGACTACTGTAGGCACTATAAGAGATTTTTAACTTGAATGAAAGTGTTGACAGTTGCTACATACTTATTTTGGGATGGGGAGTGGTATAGATACTAGTTTATAATTACTTAGCATTATTTAAAGAGGCTACTTCTTCATTTTATTAATTGTTTGTACTTGTCATTTTACATTGATGTTTTCAGTAAATCTCAATTTCTGACATTTGATTTGAGGTAGAAAATATATACATAACAATATTTAAGTATGTGTATATTTGTACAAATGTAAAGCCTGAGTACTGATAGAGATATTGCGTAGATACTAAGATAAAGATAACATCAGTGATATTTCTGACTTTTGTAGGACTTAAGAGTACACAAAACAGGGGTGCCTGGGTAGCTCAGTTGGTTGAGCAGCTGCCTTCAGCTCAGGTCATGATCCCCGACTTCCAGGATCGAGTCCCGCATCGGGCTCCCAGCTCCTTGGGGAGTCTGCTTCTCCCTCTGACCTTCTTCTCTCTCATGCTCTCTCTCACTCATTCTCCCTCAAATAAATAAATAAATAAAATCTTAAAAAAAAAAAAAAAGAGTACACAAAACTGAACCTGTTTGTTCAGCCTTAGATAACAGAGATAGATATATATAGATATTTTATTTTATTTTATTAGTGGTAACTGAGATACAGTTAAGCTAATTTTTACCTGAATAGTTCAGGTCAGATTTAAGTGATTTTGTTAACTAAGGCATAGTACAAATGTAGCCATTCATAGAAAATAAGGACATAGTAAAAATGACCTCTTTATGCGTAAAACTGAAGTTGAGCTGGCTGTTTTAATATTTTTCATAAAAGGAGGTCTGATTTTGTGGTTATCTCTTAGTTTTTATACTCATACGGCCTCTGTGTTATATTTTATATTCCTCTCTTTTTCATGAGGAAAGTTGCTTGCATTGGAAAGGAATAACGTAATCAGTTATCTGATTTTATTTTAAATTCTGAATTAAGTGCACATTTTTCTTCTCTGAATGTCTTCTTTCCAACTGAATACCTGTATACATTCAGAATGTTTGTATACATTGGTATACATTCAGAATATTTACATTTTAATGATGAAACATTAAATAGACTAAGATAAATTTTAGTCATACTGTAATCTCAGCTTAAAATATAAGATAGGAAATTCTTCCTTGAGGTGTTGGCCTTATTGTCTAAAATTTCTTTCTATTAAAAGTAGCATTGGATTGCTAATTCATGGTTTGATGTCTTTCCCTGATATTCAGCCCCTTTCATGATACTGAATTCTCATTAAGACTTACGCATGTTAAAGGGTTGGGCATACAGAGGGATAGAGAATCTCAAACAGGCTCCACACCCGGTTCAGAACTTGATCCCAGGCTCTATCTCATGACCCTGAAATCTTGACCTGAGCTGAAATCAAGAGTTGCTGCTTAACTCACTGAGCCACTCAGGAGCCCTGATACTTTTTTTTAATTCAGTGAATGGGAACAATTGCAGTCAAATTCCGATACTATAACTAATGTAAAACGTGTTAGTTGCTCTCCATGGAATTTAAAGGAGTATTTTAAAAGATAGAGATAAACTTTTGGTTTGTTCCTCTATAGTTGGTCTTTGGGGTGTTTGTGCTTTCTGCAGCCTTCATTAATTAGTGGGTTAAGATCAGGATGATGATAGGAACTAAGATTTAATGAATACCTTATAAAATATTTCAGGCACTGTTAAATGGTTTATATACTTTATATTTTATTTAGTCTTCATGATAATCAGTAGTGAGAAGTATACGTTCAGAATCCCTGTTTCCTAGATATGGACATGAAACTTTAAGAGAGATAAATTCAACTTGGACACAGTCTCTCAGTGGGCTAGTGAGTATGCCTTTTTATCCACACTACCTTATAATTTGTACATCAAAAGTAGACTGGACGTCAGTGTTCTATAGTGTTTCTGGGTGATACCATTTGAAAGGACTTGTCACTTTTGGATCCTTTACTTGATGTGGGGTTTTTTCCCTCCCAAGTTTTAGTGGATTTCGTGGACACACTTTTTTTTTTTTTTTTTTTTTTTTTAAGTTGAAAAGTTGAAAATGCTAGCTAGTCCTGTTCCATGTTTCCCCCCACCCAGTTCTTTATGTAATCTTAGTTTTTATCTTAGGATGGCAGGGAAATAAGTAATATATTGCAGAGTAAACAATCTGTTCTATTTGAAATAACCCCAAATGTTTTTCTATTAAATAATTTTATAGTATATTGTTCCAGTGAATATCCTTACCCATTTCCCCAAATTTAGGGATTCTGGTTCAGAATCCCTAAATTTGGGGAAATCTGGTTTTTGCTTTTTTCTTCTTGGCACGTAAGGTCTTAACTTAGTGATTTTTATTGGAAAAAGTTATAATATTTTCAGGAGTTACAAAAAACTGTTTAGTATGCTGTATCTAAAGAGTAATAGCAAACCTTGCACAAATTTTTTGTACCAACCATTGATTTTGGATTTGGTTATCTGGTTTATTCTTACACCTCCTTTTAAAGATCTAACATAGATTAAGTGTTCTCAGGTTCAGACTTACCTCCTTGGCATACAATTTATTCTGTTTTGAGAACACTGTACAAAATTTTATTGACATTTATTGTAGTTATTTACATGCTCTGATTTTAGCTTGTGGTAGGCTTTCATATTACTTAAAAGGTTAAAAATTACAACTGTAAAGAGACCGTCAGTGCATTTGGCAAGATTATATTAATGTTTCCAAAGGATACTTTTATTTACAAGTAATACTTGTATTTTAGCCTGCTTATGCAAGGGGGTGGGTATTATATGACATTTTAGTGCCATCTATTGGACACTTCGTAAAATACCTTCAGAAGCTCTTGAAAGCTCTTGAAAGTGTCTAAGGAATAAACATGTTTTATCATAGGCTTTTATTGCTGACAGTGCTGTGCAAACATAATACCTTTTTCTCCCTAAAAGCAGTATTATTTATCAATACATGCATTGTTAATAATAGGCTACACTTTTACTTGTCTTCCTGAAGAAAATTAGCCAAAACATGTAAACATTGTTAAACAGACAATTTAAAGATACTTATGTTTTAAAGCCATTTTTAACTTAAGAGAAGATACTGGTTTTTGGTATTGAAAGAAATTTAGTTGGAGGAAAAAACATAGATAATATCTGTTGAAATATTTGTCGGTTAAGTATCATTTGAATATTCTTAACAGTGGGTGCTATTTTATTTTTTAATAATGTAGACACTTCTGATTGTATCACTGTGAGTTAATTAATGAGGGGATAACATAGATAGGTGGAGTTTGTGTGTTTAAGGTTTGGAAAGTAATGAATTTGAAGAAGGGGCTGAGGTGCTGTTATACCATTAATACTCAGAAATCCATGGTGGTACTGCTTTTCAGATACGTATGTGTACAAATAACTTGCATATTGAACCTAATATAAAGGAGGAGATCCTGCCCTTGAGCTTCAGGAAAGACATTTTGTAAAGTCATGTTATTTATTATGTATGTAGCTTGGGAAAATGTTTCCCTGAATTTTTCAATGCAGTTAACAGTTCCGTGTATTAGCTATAGGTTTTCACTTCTGTGGTGTCTTTATAGGAATGAATAAAACAGACCAGTAAACTGTTTCATTATTAGTAACGTTGTTGGTATGCTTTGTTTCCTTTTTCCATTTCAAAGATTCTTCGTTTTGACTGTGTGTGTACTCCAGTCTGACCATATTTTCAAAAGCAAGAAACCGTATTCTTTCTCAGAAACCCAAAGGGATTTTCTTTAGCAGTCATGGTGAACGTCAGAGTTCTGTAACTTCTAGTTGCTTCTGAGTATTTGTGATATCAGACACACATTTAGTTAGCTCTCAGTCTCTTGTTGACAGAATGATAGTTTCTGATTTTTAGGTTTTGATCCTACTTGAGAAAATATAGATTCTTGGGCTCTCCTAAGTAAAATGATTGTTTTCATATGAATAACATACACTTTACGCCTTTACAAAATTTGTTATAAACCTTATACTGGCTTTTTATAAGAACATAAGAATAATATTGATGCTAAGGATATGAGGACTAAATATGGTCTGTCCCATTAAAAAATAAACAAGATTTTAAGTATGTTTGGAATAATGGAGGGGATGATGAGGGATTTGAAGTTAGAGACACTGGGTTTGAGTCTTGGCACTATTATGTACTAGCTGCTTTCCTTTGTGGGAGAGTATTATATCAAAATTCCTATACATAGTAAAGAACTTTGTGAATATTAACTCTTAATTTGAGGTTTTGTAATTCTCTTTATAAGGAAAGTAAATAGATTTGAATGGCATATAATGAAGTCTGAAGTTTACGCTGTACTTTTTAGCTGTTTGTCCTATCTAATGCTTTTAGGTTGGCTGTACAGACTGTAATTCTGAGGAATGCTGAAGTGTGTGAGATAAATTTTTAAATATTTATAATAGATTTTAGTTCCAACTTATATCAGTTTTGTATTTGATATGATCAAGTGAAAACTTAATTATGGTAAGGCACTTACCAAAATATTGATTGTATTTGTATGTATTTTATATCTTATGAATCATAGATTATGTGTAAAACTAACTGTGGAGCAGAAGTCTATCATACATCTTCATTGGAATCATTTGCCTTGTTCTGTCTGATACTACATTTGTAGTTTTATTTGGAGACACTGTAAAGAAACTTTTATGTGCAAAGGAATGCTTGAGGGAAAATTCCTGTACTTAATAAACTGTAACTTGATTATTATTTGTGTTGCCTCTCTTGTAAACTTTAATCATATTCAGAATGTCAAAAATATGTTTCTCCATTAATTTTGAAACTTATAAATTTTGTGTGTTCTTTTTTAAATTGCGTTTTAAGGCCAGGGATTTTCTGGTTAAAGAGATAGATATGCTTTTTTCATCTCCCTATTATCGCTTAATACATGGGTAACTAGATAAATCTTTAAATAGTAAGAGTAATAATGTTTCTGATTCTCTTGATAATTAATGACCTCAAACTATAAAATTATATTCTTTTACAGTATCCCTTTTACTATTCAGCGACTATGTGAATTGCTAACAGATCCAAGGAGAAACTATACAGGAACAGACAAATTTCTCAGAGGAGTAGAGAAGGTATTTATCTTAATCATTGGGATTATATTAAACTTTATTTCAGAAGAGAGCACTGAGTTAGTTCTGTTTCAGGAACCTTTTCTTCCAATAGATTTCCTGAAACATACCTGAAGTTTTTTTCCCAAATTGTTTTCCTAATTTGGGAAAAACTAAGTTTTGGAGCAAGATTTAATAGAAGGGACACAGAGGGAGGACTTGTTGATCAGCGAAGTTTGGGGAATGCCGCTTACTGTCTCTTCAAAATTCCTAGTACACATTAGCATCAAAGGCTCTCCAAAGTTCTGGAATTGATATTTTAACTTTAGCTGTGTTTTGCACACTTGTTACCCATGGAATTCATTTCTTCATTTCTGGACTTCAGAGGTGCACAACTTTGGAAAATCTGATGAAAAATTTGACTTAGATATTGAGGAAGATGTAGATCAGACTTAAGAATGAAGAAGTGTTGTTTTTTGCCGGTAAGGGATGTTAGTTGTAAGAGAAGGGCATACTGGATCTAGGAAACAAGGTGATGAACAAAGACATCCAGGTGTTTGAGGGAATAATAAGTAGGAAATGGGCTTGTTTGAAGTGAAGAACCAATGAGAGCGCCCTGTGAGAACCAAGATTGGACCAGTCTGTTGATAATTCCCTCTGATTGATCCTAAAACATTGTCCAGTGTTCATTTTGTGGTTATAATTCAGATTCAGTTTATTCACCCTTGGAGCAGGAATCTAAAACCGTTACTTAATGTTTACAACAGATCTTAGGGCCTTACTGGATTAATTTGTTTTGTTGTGTTTCCATGCCCTTGATTTAATGAGATTTCTGAAGGGCAGGAAAGTGAGATGATTCATCAGTACTTACTTTCAGCTTATTGGACTTTTAATAATTAGATTTTGGCAATCTTTGAATGAAGAGGCAATCAAAAGTAGTCATACCAGGAGTGGTCCTGTCACCAAATCAGGGCTGCAGTGTTTCGTATTTGGGTGACCATGGACCAGTTACATAACCTCAGTCTCAGTTTCTGATCTGTGAAATATGGTTAATAGGACTGCAGAAGTGCTGCTGAAAAGCACTTCCTGTGGGTCGTACTACACTTTTAATGAATATTGACTATAGGAAAGTCAGTATTACTGGGAAGATTATATTATTAAAAAGTCTGAAGCTCTTTTTTTGGATGTCTGATACTACTACACAAACTTTTGATTGTGTACTGCTTTTTAAGAACATTCATTATACATGGCCTGAATACTTCAGTCTCTAAGTATCTTGGCATGATTTCTATCTAAAATAAGACTGTGGTTCCACTGTATTAAATTTGATACATATCAGGGCCCCAAAGTAGCTCCGGTAGAATTAAAATAATACTGGCAGAAGGAGCAAATGGTTTAGTAGGTTATTAGATTTAGTGTGTTAATTGTTTTAGTTTCTCTTGTTTGATTAAAAGTTTTTACTTTTCACCGTTTATTTTCTTGTATTAGTAAAATTGGATAGACGGGGTGCCAGGGTGATTCTGAGAGCTTAAAAACAAATGGTTAACCTTTATGTCGTAGTGCTTTTCTGCATATTAAAGCATCAATTTTTGTTGTTGCAGAATGTGATGGTTGTTAGCTGTGTTTATCCTTCTTCAGAGTAAGTAAAGAAATTTTTAAAAATTTCTGTATGTACTGATTATATCATTTCTAATATTTTCTAATATATAAGTATTTAAATTAGGTCACATTAATTTTATATGGAAATGATGCAGGAAAATATTTATAAATACTTGTGAACCTACCACCCAGTCCCTCAAGTAGAGTATTACCAATGATATCTGTATGTTTTTCTAGTAAAGAAATTCACAGGTTTGGATTAAAGTGATTGGTGATTTACTGTAATCTTAAGATTTGTGGATTTATGTAGTGTCATGGTACTCAGGGCCCTGAGATCCCATCCTAGATACCTTGCCATGGCATGTCTGGGGGATAACTCCTAGGTTTGGAGTAGTTCCTTGATGACTTTCCTCCTCACGATGGAAAAGTATTTCCAGTTGTCAAGATTTATATAGCAAATTAATGTGTTGGTTTAAGACAGTCCTTGGCACTATTAATGTTTTGTTACGGTTGTTTGTCCTGGGAATTAAAGTGGGGTTAGCACTGTCCTAGGCTTCTGCCTACTGGATGCTAATAATGCCCCTTTTTCCCTGAAAAATGTCTTCAGACATTGCCAAAAGTCCACTGGGATTGTGGGGTCCATGAAGGGGAATTGAGAGGAGAATGATGTCTTCTGTTAAGAAACACTGGATTTAGGGCACCTGGGTGGCCCAGTTGATTGAGCGACTGCCTTAGGCTCAGGTCATGATCCCGGAGTTGTGGGATCAAGTCCCGCATCAGGCTCCCAGCTCCATGGGGACTATGCTTCTCCCTCTGACCCTCTCGTATCTCATGTGCACGTGCTTTCTTTCTCTCTTTCAAATAAATAAAGAAAAACTTTTAAAAAGAAAAAAAGGCACTGGATTTATAAAAATGTCTGTGATTTTATAGACGATAACGTTGTTTTTAGAACTCTAGCAAGAATATACCTCTGTTAAATGAGATATTAAGGTAATCCTGTAGTTAATGCTATTTCTTAAAGAATTCTGTTCGTTATGTTCTGTGACTGTGAGATTGTACAAAAGATCCTTTAGGCCTGTGGCTCTTATCAAAATTAAAGAACTAAAGGGTCTATAATAATGTTTTTTCCTTTTCTCATAGGAAAAATAATTCTAATAGTTTAAATCGAATGAATGGTGTTATGTTTCCTGGAAATTCACCAAGTTATACTGAACGGTGAGATTATTGATTTTAATATCCAGAGAGATTGTATATTCCTAATTTTGAGAAGCAGGTTCAATATATTTTCTTAAATAAAATTGGGCATTTTATGGAAGCCATAGAATATACTGAACAATTAATTTGGTAACCCTGAAATCTTGAAAGTCAATGTTAGAGTAAATACTTCTGTGATGTGTTCATATAAGCAAACCTTGGGAGGGTGACTTCTTACCAAAATGAGAAAATGATGTTCTTTATCTTATCCTAGGTCTAATATAAATGGGCCTGGAACACCCAGGCCACTTAATCGACCAAAGGTTTCTTTGTCAGTCCCCATGACAACAAATGGCTTGCCTGAGAGCGCAGACAGCAAAGAGTCAAACTTACAGCAAAATGAGGACAAAAATCACAGGTTTGTATGCGATTTATATTTAAAAGCAAAATGTTTTCAAAATAGGTTGGCATTTATCCTTTCAGCACTCTTTATCTACTGTATGCTATTGTTTTGAGAGACACAGCAAGGTTTTATTGTGGTCTATGGCTTCTGGACTTTTTCAGCAATAGCACATGTTGAAGATAGTCCTAGAGAAGCTTAAAACTGCTAATTTGTAATAGCATCTTAAGAAAGTAAAGTGATTATAATGCTTTCTATTTCTTGTTTTTGAAAGTAACCTGAAAAGAGAAAAGATTTATCAGAGCTGAAGATTTTTAGTTATTTCTCATTGTAGATCATTAAAGGAAAGCTTTTATATATATCCCAAAGCAGACTAAACAGGTGAGAGGTCTTAATGAGTATGTCCATCTGGAAGACTTGTAGTTCTCTTATGGAAAGGCATTTAAGTTACTGGGAAATTGAACAGAAATATCATATAACTTGTTGACTAGTTCTAGTGGGAAATATTTGTGACACAGTTGAGGTTCCCTTGAAATTATTCTCATGTTTCTCTTTGTTCAGATGTTATAATTTAACTTTGACACTGAAATGCAATTTTAAAAAATTATTAGACCTTAAAAATGAGAATGTGGAAGATGAAGAAAACAGTCTTATTAATGACACTTTAAAAAAACATTTACAGTGACTCTGTGACATCTGAATCAGAAGGTTCTTCAGTGAGCCCTATAAAAAATAAACATCCTGATGAAGATGGTGTGGAGGCCGAGGGGCATGAGGTAAAAAGACTCCGGTTTGACAAAGAAAGCGAAGTCAGAGAGACAGCCAGTCAAACATCTTCCAGTGAAATTGCTTCGGTTATGGTAGAAGAAACAGAAGCATCGTCGTCATCTCAGGATAAAGACAAGGAAAGTAGTTGTACCAGGCAGCACTGTACAGAAGAGGATGAAGAAGAGGATGAAGAGGAAGAAGAAGGTATTTAGAGACCATCTGTAAAAGGGTGGAGTAAGGAGATCCTCAAATTCTTGTACTTCATTTTGCCTGAAAGAATTTAACATAATGGAGCTCCTTGTAATGCTGTTGTTGTTGGGCTTTCCTCCCACCTGTATGTATTTGCTGCTGAGTTTCAGGGGATATGATTTGAACTGTAGAATATCAGAATTCATGAAACTTAACTGTGGAGGTATTTTGAAAATAAAATTTAACTACAACAACATTTGCTTATTTTTAGAGTCTTTTATGACATCAAGAGAAATGATCCCAGAAAGAAAAAATCAAGAAAAAGAATCTGATGATGCCTTAACTGTGAATGAAGAGACTTCTGAGGAAAATAATCAGATGGAGGAATCTGATCTGACTCAAGCTGAGAAAGATTTACATTCTGAAGGTAGTGCAAATACAGGCCGCGTAAGTAGTGGTTCTGATTGCCATGAGACAGAAGAATTAGTAGGATCCAACTCCAGTAAAACTGGAGAGATTCTCTCAGAGTCATCCATGGAAAATGAGGACGAAACCACAGAAGTCACAGATGAACCAATGGAACAAGACTAACTATTGAGAAACATGTAGATGCAGTATTTTACATACAGTTCTGGTTTTACACTGTATAAAACTTTTATGTAATAAAGTGGACCTTTAGTTTTACAAGAGAAGCAGGTTGTAAAATAAAGTACTTTATGGGATAAATCCTGAAAGAGTTGTACATGTAAGAACTGTGAATATCAGCTCCTCTGGGTCCTGCGTACCGCTGACTTTTTTTTTTTTTTTTTTCCTTCTCCTGGTCTTGTCAAATCAGTGGTTTGTGTATAGATTTTTTTTTTTTAAAGAATTAAAGTTTTTAAACTGGAAGGTAATAATTATAATTTTGAAAACTTTTTGGAGATTATCACATTTAGTTTATACATATGCAAGAAATCTTTTTGTCTTGTCTCTTTCTGACAACTCTAGCAGTTTTCATATTTTGGTCATAGTTTCAACATTTTAACATGTGAATTATAGGGTTTCATGCTGGCTTCCAGATTTTATTGTTTGACTATGTACAATGGAACTTTAAGTCATATATACATATATATATATATATTATTCTAAGGGGGGAAATGTTCTATTTTTCTGTTTCTATAAGAGATGAATACAGTGAATACTTTTTCTATTGGTAATGATTGAGTTCACCTCTTTCAGAAGACAGTTTCAGTTTCTCTTCTGAGTAATTCAAATAAAATCTGGCCCTTGTGAAACCCTGGAAATAAGTCTGTTGAAATACCAGGTTAAACACATTCCAAGAGATCTGCTCTAACTAAAATTCTTTTGTATACTTCTGAGGTGCCTGAGAAAAAGACTTCATTATTTATGAGAAAATATGCTTTATCTTGGAAACTGTGTTCAAACATTAGCTTACTATTTTGTAGAATGAATGCTGACATGAGACCATCTCAGAAGAACCCGGCAGGTTCCTTGACCTTTTGCTTGCTTTTCTGAACATTGTGAATATTACACATTTCTTTCTAAATTATTCTAGAGTATGCAAATGTCAATGGTATGAAACCCCACTGTACTGGAAGAATTAATATATTACTATAGTAATGTACTGGAGCTAAATGACTGAAGCTTTAGGGGTGCATAGAAACCACCATAATTTGTATGACATTTTGAAGTGAATTAAATATTTTTGAACATGCTTCTTCGACAGCCAGTGTTATATTTTTCAGATTAACACAAAGCACAATGATTACTCTAAACTCAATATTTTCAAATTCACATATTTAAAAGTCATGCAAGCTGCAACTTCCCTGTCAAAATTACTGGCTGCCAAATTTATACCTGTTTCTTCAGCTGTACCTTTTGATATTTAGAATTTTTAAATTTCTGTAAAGTAGATTTTGTAGAATGTAATGTGTTCACTGCCTTTGTGAAGCGGTATATAATTGTATAATTTCTGTGTGTAAACTGAATGCTTGGGCTTTCAATACAGTATTCATATAAAGCAATAAATATTAATGTTATGAAATATTCGAGTACATTTTTATCAAAATACAAAAGAATCCCTTTTTTAGTTTCAGATACCTGAAGTACACAGATGAACTTATAAAACTGATGCAAACAATATCTGACACTGTATCATAATCTTTGGGGTGATGTGGGTGGCGACCACAACTTTTGCATTTTGACTACTTAAATTGCTATGACTAAAATTACCAAATGATTTGGCTCCGTTTATGTTTATAGGATAAATATACTACTGACTGACTTGACTGTCAGGTTCACAGCAGCTTGATGATATATTTAAGAATATGTCTAGTAGATAAAATAAAAATTGAATATTGATTTACTGTACCCAGGAGGGGATAAAAAATCACACATTGTAAATTTTAAAAAATTTTTTTGCAAAAATGTTGAAGCCAATTTTAAATGTGACATTCATTTGTAGTGACCTATTGACCTATTATTTTGTTGAGGGATATTTTGCCAATGAGAACAGATTTTAAACATTTTAATTTTAGAAATTTTGAAATTTTCTTTAGGATATTTATGAAATTATTGTCAATAAACGTATTCTTTAAGATCCTGTGACCTTTTGATATTTTTTGTTTTAATTGTGCCATGGACCATTTGTAAACAAATCAATTTACTTTTGTTGGTTTTAAGTTGAAGATTTAGCGTCATGACTTTGAGGTCTGTGGTTTTATTTGTAAACTTGCAATTGCTATTTTTGCAAGGGCAAATGTATTTCTTTATTAAATAAAGTACAATAATGGTGAATGTACCAAAATGCCATCACTTAACTCTATGAGAGATCTGCATTTTAATCTATAGTTTAATAGTTTTAATATTTATTAGATATTCATATGTTGATCATAGATCAAACTTGTTGCTGTTCATACAGATAATTGTAGAATGCTCACGGAATATCTCCTTTAGGATAGGTGGAATACTTCTGTAGTTAAACTGGGAAACCTTGTTCAGCTGGTTTAAGATACTGATGCCCATTTGGAAGTAGTTTTCCGCAAGTATGCATAGGTGCACTTACACAGACTTTGCTTAAATGAAAATGTCAGTTGTAATAGTAACTGATTCGGATGTGAATTTTTTAAAGGCTGATTTTAGGCACATTTTCTTACATCAGCAAAGTCATATTAAAGATCTAAATGAAGAAGCAAGACCTCAGTGATTAAAAATGTTATTTTCCCCTTTTTTGGCCTTGAGCAGATTGTTTACCTATTAGAATCTAGACTCTGAACCCAACATGTAAAAACTTGAAATGCTGATGAGGATAGAGAATAATATGTAATGTGTTTTTAGCACTTTCCCCTTTTAAAAAAGTAAAAATAACCTAGTACATTTTAAAAATTACATCTTTTCAGTTCTGAAAATGTAGCAGAACAGAAATAAGTGGTGGAAAATGTCATATTTTAAATGTTGATTATTAAATAAATTTAATCCAGTTAGGGTTTATTGTAACTACACCTTTCAACAATGTGGACAGAGCAGTGGAATTCCCCGTCAGAGAGCTATAACCCTTTGGCTTGGAAAGGCGTTCCAGAAATCCTGCGCCAGAAGGTGTAGCCTGTTAAAGCATGGAGGTTCAGAGTACTTTGTTTTGCTGGTGTAGATAGGCATGTATTTATGCATTTTTGCATTTGTAAAATCAGTAATTTTTCAAATAATGTAAATGTAATATACTAGTTTACTTATAAAGGTACTGGGCAGAATCTATAGCTGCTACAATGTTTATGAGAAATGTAACGTGATAAGGATGAAAATGCAACTTGTAGAACCAAAGGAAATAAAAATTTTGGATAGTGTTTCAAGTTGTCTTCTGAACAGGAGTTTCTTAATTACATTGGTTTTGATCAAATGAAGCTCAGTTCTCTTGAGATTTGTGCTAATCATAAAATGGATGAATGCAAAAACACCTTGTAATTTTATGTGGAATTATTATAATTAGGTTTATTGGATTATTGGCCTAATAAGAATGCTAGTATGTATTGGTTAGGATACATCTAATATTTCACATTTAAAAAATAATCCGTACACTTCAGAATTTTCTTTTATTTCAATTTGGAGCCTAGATTACTTTGCCAAATGTATTATTTTCATAATGCAATAAAATATAAATTAGAAGAATATATGTGTGGAATTACTTTATTGTCTTTAATAGTTCACACCTCTGTCCCAGCTCCTGCTCCCCAGTCACTTTAGATGGTTTAGGATCCGTGAGCATTTCCTGGTCTGTAAGGGAAAAAGCTTAATGCAGGAATTTATTGTACCTCTGTTTCTTAAGTCTTAAGGATTTCCACATGGAGGGTGCAGCTGACGTGAATGGACAACTCAAACCTGGTATCTGACAGAAGTCCTGATTCACCTTATAAAAAAGTTCTCTTTTGGCATAATTTGGCACTAATTTGCATGCATGGATGCACAATATCTGTACTGGAATCATTTTAGAAAGGTTCCTTTCAGACAATTAAATGATTAGAAGTGTAGAATTGCCCTAAATGGAGAGAATGGATTCCGTTTTCTAAAAACCCTGGGTTCTTGTTTCTTTTATGTATTGCATAGTAGATGATAGTAAACAGTAACCCCTGGGGCTTTGGATTCAGAAGCTAGTACCAACTAGCCTGTGCCTGAATTTAAATATTTTTGAATTTCAGCTTCATATTTGATCTCTAACTTATGCATAGTCAACTTTAGTAAACAGAATTGGTAGTACAGAGTTTTGGGGTAACTTGATAGACTGATTGTTGCACTAAACAGGATGACAATGGACCATCTCTGGCTACTTGCCATTCTAGAATACTATTTCCTGTTGTATTATAATGGTTTTGGAGTAACGGACTTTTTTTTTTTTTTCCTCCAAAATTCAGCAAGTAGAGTTTGTGGCTTAGGTTTATAATAACAGACTTTTTTTATTCCCCACCCCTCAAAGGCAATGGTTTTTTTAACTAAAAATAATGACAAATGTTAACAACTCCATTTCCCAGTCTGCACATTCCACTGTTTCACTAATTTTTATACTGGCACAAGCTAACCTGTGCTTGGCAAATGGTTAACAGCTGAAATCAGATGAGCTTTGTGGATACTGTTTGCACAATCCATTTTGGAATTCCTAAATTCACTAATCCTACAGTTACTTTCTACCCAATTGGAGGGTTCTGAGTTATCTGAAGCATTTCTTTGCTGCAGGGTTTATGGAGTTGAGAGCTGTACACGCAGTTGGATACCCTTGACACTGTCCCAGTAACAGAAGAGGTAAGGTCAGTAAAACCAGCGTCCCCAGGCCTATAGAAAGGCACAGCACATTGTCACTTGATGGTGGACAGGTGTTTCTCCAAGTTGGACATACAGGCAAACCAGTCAAGTCGTCTTTAATGTGTTATGGTGGGACTTGATATTTGCTTACAGTTGAGTAGGTTTGCCAGTGTTAATGCATACATTTCCTGAGAATTTGAGGGTTAAGTATGTGGTAGGTATTGGACTATCTTCATTTTGGATATATTTTTTTAAAGATTTATTTATTTATTTGATAGAGATCACAAGTAGGCAGAGAGGCAGGCAGAGAGCGCAAGGAGGAAGCAGGCTCTCCGCTGAGCAGCGAGCCCGAGGTGGGGCTTGATCCCAGGACCCTGGGATCATGACCTGAGCCGAAGGCAGAGGCTTTAACCCACTGAGCCACCCAGGGCCCCCTGGATATTTTTCTTTACATTTCTTGTAATTTAGCATGGAAAGGTAAGCTTAGTTGATGACTAGCAATTGCCATGTGCATTTAGGAATGCACACAGTCTTTCACTTTTCAACTTGGATGGGTTCCTAAAATTAAGTTGGGCAACTTGTGTAAGTTGTGTATTTGGGGGCTAAAAGAATAAACTCATCCATTTGCTACGTTTGAGGAATTTAGTCAACTTTGGAGAACAATAAGTCCAAGTTTTGAACTGAGGGTGGTCTGTGACTTGAGGAGGTGCACTGGTGAGAGACAGTTTAGTGCCATTGTGGCTGTCTGAGAAGGCCTCTCAGATTTGGGCTTGAAAGATAACAGGGAGGTAGTAGGGTGTAATGGGCAGAATAGAAGGGCATAAGAGTTGCAGTGATAGGGGTTAAGTCTGGTTTGCCTTCCCCAGCTTGGGCACCTTGGGCAAGTTGCCGTATTTCTTTGAGCTTTAGTATTCTCATTTTTGAAGTGGGGAAATAATAGTATCTATCTGGCAGGACTCTGGGCATTCAGTGTAATTATGGGAATAAAGCTAGATCTAGTTTAGGGTCTTTTTTTTTTTTTTTTCCCCCAATGTTGTATTTGAGAGAGAGCATGAGTTGGGGAAGGGGCAGAGGGGAGAGAGAATTCTCAAGCAGACTCCCTACTGAGTGCAGAGCCTGATGCGCGTCTCAATCCCAGAACCCTGAGGTCATGACCTGAGCCAAAATTGAGAGTCAGATTTTAACCAACTCACCCACCCAGGCATCCCTAGGATCTGACATTTCTTTTAAGGAGAAACATGGAGAAGAAAATATATATTTTTCCCAGGGAAGCCTTTTTATCAGAATCAAAGTTGAGGTTTCAATCCTGGCTAATAACAGGATAATAATAGCAAGCACTAATTGAGCACACACTTTATGCCCTTCCTTGTCCTTAGCACATGCCCTCTTTTTTAACCTTCCCATCAACCCTATGAGATGTGTAATATCCCTGTTTTACAGACATTTGTGGTAAAGGAAGGCAAAGGGACCTTTGAAAGGGGAGGGTCAGAATGAGAATCGGGCTCTTGACTCCCAAACCAGACATTTTTTTACCCTCCTTATGCTCAGATCCTGTCTAGTCTTGGAAGGCCTGTCAAGTTAGAGTGAGACCAGCAGAGAGGAAACCAGTCTAGGTATACGAAGGTTCTTGGAGCCACTCGGGACTGCAAGTTCAGGTACCTCAAAGGGCTTGACCAGTCACAAACCCAAGCATTTGTTTTCACAACACATTTACTTCACTGTCCAGCTTCACCTTACTTTTTCTATTATCCATGGTTTTCCAAAAAGACATTTCCAGTACATGATCGATTTTTAAAATTTATCTTAAAAATTAGTAATACACACCTGGCAAAAATTCAATAGAATAGTATACACTGGGTTGTTTATATCCTACTACTCTTATTTCTGTATCTTCCCCCTCAACCCTGAGAGAAATGCTCTCACTAGCAGGGCATAGTGCTTGAGAGCAAAGATCCTGGAGCCAGATTGCCTGGATTTGAATCCCAGCTCTACCGTTGGTTGGCTGTGTGATCTCCAGCATATCTCTAAAATGAGGATGATGTCCCAACCTTCAGACTTGACCACTGGAAGAGAGCCTGACTTGCTAGTAGTCCCCC